CCATAAGTAAGAGAAGGAGTGATGGAGGTATGGCCATGGCCTTAGGTAGGTGGTGCTGGGCCTCTTGGTTGCTCTGTCCCTGTAAGTAGCAGACTTGGGAGTTGACAGACTAAGTTGGAGGAGGCTCATTTTCCTATTGCTCACCTGCTGTGCAACCTTGGGCAAGCTACCGGGCCTCTCTTAGCCCAGTTGCCCTGAAATGCCAAAATGCTGGAGGGCAGAAGGCATAGGGGAACTGACCAGTCTTCCCACCACCAATAGCACGTGGACATCCAGAACTTCTCCTCGAGTTGGAGTGATGGGATGGCCTTCTGTGCCCTGGTGCACAACTTCTTCCCCGAGGCCTTTGACTATGGGCAGCTTAGCCCACAGAACCGGCGACAGAACTTCGAGGTGGCCTTCTCATCTGCCGAGTAAGTGAGGTCCCCAGCCCTGCTGGTGTCAGCTGGGCATCTGGGGCTGGGCATCTGGGTCAGGCCCAGCTGCCCAAAGCCCCCGGGAGCTGGCCAGCTGCACTGTCAGACAGTGGCTGAGACCCCCTTCCCCAGAAAGCCCCTGTCCTCCTCCATCCTGCCCACCTGATGCTGAGTGTGCCAGGTGCCCGCCGGAACGAAGGAGCCACAGGCCCGCCTACAGCCCAGGCCAAGGCCCACCAGGTGGCCCTGTCCATATCCCCTCCATCCTCCCTCTGTTCCTCTCTCCCTCTCTCTCCCTTTCTCTGTCCCACTCTCCTCCCACTATCACCAGAGCTTCCTGCTCCCACGGGATCCCGGCTGGAGATTCCAAAAGGAGGCTCCTGGCCCGGGCACCGTGCCCGCCCAGCCTATATAGGTGTTGCCAGAGGCTTATATAGGACATCAGCAAGCCTTCCACTTTGGAATCATTGCCCCGTCTGCTCACCTCACCCTCAGCACCCTCTTTCTTCATCTATCTTTCTTTTCTGTCTTTCTCTTCCTGGTCCTCCCAGATTTCTTCCTCTCCTTCCTCCCTCCACCTCCTCTCACGCCTCCCTCACCCCCCCTCCCTGGGGCACAGCCCTCCTTTCCAACCTGGGCGCCAACGCCATTGCCCCCCACCCCGCGTTCCCGCTTGCCCCAAGAGTTCTCTGCACCTGTGACTGGTCTGGCCCCCCACCCTTGTCTGCATTGCACACCATTAGTGATGGGTAGTGAGCGGCACGTCCACAATGGGGAGGGGGCATGCGGGAGGCTGGCAGACTGCAGCACTGAGAACGTAACTGAACTCATGTCTCTGTGTGTGTGTATGTGTGTGTCTCTCTGTTCTCCCCTCTCTCTTCTCTGCCTCTTTCCCCCTCTTCCCCGCCCGGGCCCCACCTCCCTGCCCCTTCCCGGCCCCCTACCCTCCCCAGGACCCATGCGGACTGCCCGCAGCTCCTGGATACAGAGGACATGGTGCGGCTTCGAGAGCCTGACTGGAAGTGCGTGTACACGTACATCCAGGAGTTCTACCGCTGTCTGGTCCAGAAGGGGCTGGTAAAAACCAAAAAGTCCTAACCCCTGCTCGGGGCCCCACGGTGAGAAATGACTGCCTCACATGCCAGAATCTGCTCAGCGGGGCACAGAGAGAGGCCTGGGAGGTGGGTGGGGGAAGCAGGAGGAGAGCCAGAAGGAGTCAGACTTGGCCCTGTCTTCTGGCAATTCAGGGCCTAGTAGGCAAGGCCATTCTCTTAAATGATGACCCAGGTGAGCAGGACCGAGATGAAGGAAGCCCAGGAGGGACCCTAGGGAAGGCACCTGACCCAGCCTTCAGACCCAGGACAAAAGTGCAAACTAAGCTTGGATCTGAACGACAAAGTTCAGGCTAAAGGAGGGAGAGCAAGTCCCAGGCAGAGGGATGAGCCTGTGCCCAAGGCTGGGGGTTGAGACATGGAGAGTTTGGCACCCCCAGGAACAGAAAGAAGTTTAATCTGTGTGTGAGAAGGAGACAAGGTCCTCAGTCAGGGGTTTGAACTTCCTCCTGAGGATAACAAGAATCATAAAAGGTCTCCAAACAGAAGAGGAATGTACGTAGTCTGGTTAGTATTCTAGAACAATCTTTGGATGAGGGATGGGGAGCAAGAGGGTGGACTAGATAGCTTGAGAAGCTTAATAAGAAGTAAAAGGAGAGGCTTCCTGATGGATCCAGTTGAGGAGAGAGAAGGAGGGTCAAGGAAACCTCCCAGGCCTCAAGTTCGGGCACTGAGGAATTGGTGGTACTATGCTCCATAATGGGGAGCTCAGGAGCAGGGCCAGTTTTAACAGGAAGATGTTTCTGGTTGGGGTCCTGGATCCTCAAGCCAGCTGTAGTATTTCCTGTCTAGTCACTTCACCTCAGGGCCACAGTATAGAATTCAGATCCTGAGCTAACTGCCTATTCCAGACAAGCAGCTCAGAGGAGGAGAGGTGGGCTCAGCGTCCTAGAGGGGTTAGGTCAGAGCTGAGGCCAGAAACTGGAACTCTAGACCCCCACACTTAGTGATTCTTTTCTTTGCCCTATTACTTTTCCCACCCATTTTGTAGAGAAGAAAAGATAAAGTCCCAGAGGGAACAAGGGGATTGACCTTAGTAACATGAGTCAGAAACAGAGCTAGAGGTGCATTCAGATGCCCCTCAGGGCCTGGAGCCATTGTAGGGAGCAGCCCACATGCGCACACATATACTCAGAGAAGCTGTGCAGGTGAGGGGAGGATGGGCTTAGTGCTGTCTCCAGGTCATATATGGACTTAGGAGCTGCTGCCCAGCAGGCTGGCCTGGAGGGAGAGGGCCCAACCCGGCCCTGATCCAGTTGGAAAGTGTGACTCAGCTGTGCTGTTGCTCGAATTGCATGGTGTTTGGCCTGTCACTGGGACAGCTGGATCCCTGAGCCGTGAGCCCCAGAGTAAACAATGGCTTTATAAGGTTTCCAGGGAAGACACCAGGATTGGGAGGGAGTTCCACACTGGGGGAGGGAGGCTGGGATCCCTGGGGAGATATCCACAGCTGGAAGAAGCTGCAGAGAGAGGCTGCCTCACCACCATAGTACAGCTGGGAAAACAAGCCCAGGCAGGCAGGGATGACCCCAAGGGCACATAGCACATCAGCAACAGAGTCAGGAACCCCTCAGCCATCTTAAGTGCTTCCAAGGTCTCAAATGAGGCAAAGAATAACTATACCATTGTCTTAAAGATGGGGAAACTGAGTCACGAAACAGGGCAGGAATGTAGCTAGCATTCACAGCTGGTCAGGGATAGATCCTGGACTGAAACAGAGGCCTCCTTTCTCTCAGGCTTCTTCCCTGAAGGAGTCCAATGAGCTGGGAGTATGCCCCAGCCCTACCATGGTCCCAGGTTTGACCTTGAAGGCAGGTCGATATGGGAGGTAGTTCTGGGTCCTTAGGTGTCTTAGGAACAGGAGCAATTCCTGACCTTATGCCTTCCCTGCCAAAGGAAACATTCCATACAACACTGACTGAGTGCTTACTATATGCCACGTGGAAGATGAGAGGGAGCAAGGCAGAAGAGTTCTTGCTCTGAGAAAGGAGGGGAAATGGAACCAGGGAGCGAAATCAAGCTTGAGAGCTCTGGAACTGTCAGTTGCTTCGTAGCCCACTCACCCCAGAGTGGGGAAAGGGCTCCTGCAGTAGGAAAGAGGGTGCTCCAGGCAGGTACCAACACCTAAGGCTGGAGGCCTGGGCTCCATCAGGCCCAGCTCTGGACATAATAAGCTGTGAGGCTTGAAACAAATGATCCCTCTGCTCTGTGACTCAGTTTCCCTATCTGTAAAGTACATCTAGCACTCTGGAGGATAGACAGAAGGGTAGTCCTGCCCCTGAGCATGATGTAGATGGTCCCATCTGTATTGACTGGGACCCTCATCTGCCTCCCCTGCTCCACCCAAGAAGGATAATAAGGGTTAAAGAGCTGCCCCTTACCCCCACCCCCACACAGCCACACACCTCCCTGGCCATTTGACAAAGCAGGGTTGTCCCCTGGACAAGGACAGGGATTGGAGGGGGGGACGAGGGGCGGGGCGGGGCGGGTAGCGGGGTGCAGAGCTCTCAACAGAAAGTACCAGACTAGAGAGCTAGCAGATAATCTGGGGCCCAGAAGGTCACTGGGGCAGGTCCTGACTGCACAGAAGATTTGCTGGAGGTAAGACCCGGCCCTGAGGTGCAGTGGCCCAATTGAGAGGCTTGTGCCAGCTGGAGTGTGCCATTAAGGGTGAACAGGTGATGGCCCTCCAGAGAAGTGGGTGGAGTCTGGAGTCGGGACCTGCCCAGGGCCAGGGATAGAGACCGGCACCCTGCCCTGACAGCTCTCCCTCCATCTCCACCTCCACCTGCCTGGCCTTGCTCCTCACAATTGTGCCTCCAGGCTTGGATGGATGGAGCTTGGGGCTTCCTGCCTTTCTGGAAGACTTCCCACCGCCACCACCACCTCCCTTTAGTTGATCCAGAGTGTGGAATTTATGGAAGACCAGCAGGCTTCGTCAGTGAAAAGACCTCCAGGTAGAGGGTCGCCACGAGAGGCGGGGTCGGCGCTGACAACCACCCTCGTGCCCCCTCCCCGCAGGATGCTGGTGGACTGCGTGCCCCTGGTGGAGGTGGAGGACATGATGATCATGGGCAAGAAGCCGGACCCCAAGTGCGTCTTCACCTATGTGCAGTCGCTGTACAACCATCTGCGGCGCCACGAGCTGCGCCTGCGCGGCAAGAATGTCTAGACTCCCCGCCCGCACCGCCTGCTCGCCGCCAGCTGCTCGCACCATCTAGGCACGCTCCTCGCCCACCGCTGCCCTGTCTGTCGCGACACCCTCCCTCGCAAACACACAGCGTTTTGATAAATTATTGGTTTTCAACGACCCTGATTCCTCTGCCTCTCTTCGGGGGGGTTGAATGGAAGGCAATTCTGCAATGTATGCCCAGGTCTCCCCTCCGACAGCCAGGAAGTTGCGTATCCGGTGGTATTGGAGAGGGGGCTCCTATTCTCCACCTGCCCGCAGCAAGGAAGGAGTCGAGTCTCATTTAAGACGAAAAGTGATTTAGTGTTGCTGAGGAGGGAATAAGGGGGGTTGAGAGAAACTCCCAACTCTATCCCTGCCGGCTTGGGGACGGGGCGTCGACCCTCAGCGAGGGAGGTGTTCCCGGGACGCTGAGCGCTTCATTCTGTCCCCAGGGCTCAGACAGGGGGATGCCGCGCTCCCGGACCTACAGGTCAGCGCGGTCCGGAGCGCCCTCGGCGGGCCTAGCGGGCGCCCGCAGGTATTCGGGGGGCACAGGGTCGTCGGGCGCCGCCTTGCGATAGAAGCCGAGCTCCTGCACCAGTGCGTTGATCTCCTTGCGGGTCATTTCGCTGAGTGGGATTCGCTTAAGGGGAAAAAGATCCGGGTCAGCTCACCAGGCGCTGCCTCTCGTCCCGACCCCCCGTCCACTTCCCAAGGCCTCACCTCTAACTCTTCGTAGCGGTGGCCCAGCAGTACAAGCTCTGGGTCGGCCCCCGGGAGATGTTTCATTACCAGATTGTGGCTGGAGAAGGTGTTAAGGAGGGTAGTGGTGGGCAGAGGCAGGTGGGAGCTCTCAGGACCTTGCTGATGTGAACAGCACAGCCTCGTTCACCGAGGTAGGGCAGAGATCCCCATTTACGCATAAGGAAATTAGGGTCCAAAGAAGTAAAGAGCCCTCTCCATTCCTATATCTGTGGCAATCCTCACTAGTCAATGTCATTGCCTACCCAACTTAGAGACCACCTCGTAATTCTCTGGGCAGCCGCTACCAATCAATTCCATTTGTCATACTAAAACCATTTGTCATCCTATCTATCTGTGAAGTCAAGTGTAAGATTCTCTCAGATTCCCTCCCCATTCTCCCTCACCCAGAACGCAGAAGAAGGATACTACAATGGGATGTCCTGGGTGACAAAGGCCTTCACCTGGGGAGGAACCAGAGCATCAGACCCCAACCCCCTCCAGGTACTGATGGAAAACTGAAGCCCAGTGAGGTCACACAGCGAGTCAAGTGCAAGCTCCTGACCCCCAGCCCAGAGATCCTCCCTCACCCAATCATTGGAATCATGTTGCCCACCCCCTAAGATGCTCAAGGGAGACAGAGCTGGGGACCCCTTCCTTCAAACTCACCTCTT